CGGGTAGTGTAGATTCTAAATTGGTCAAATCATGACCCCGGGGGATAGGGCGGGGCCACAATAGGGTATCCAAATTTTACATTGAAATATGCAGAAAAAATCTTTAAAAATCTGCTTCTCAAGAACCACTTGGCCAGAAAAGCTGAAACTTATGTGGAAGCATCCTGGGATAGTGTAGATTTTAATTTGGTCAAATCATGACCCCGGTGCAGGGCGGGGCCACAATAGGGTATCCAAGTTTTACATTGAAATATGTAGTAAAAATCTTCTTCTCAAGAACCACTGGGCCCGAAAAGCTGAAACTAATGTGGAAGCATTCTGGGGTAGTGCAGATTCTAAATTGTTCAAATCATGACCCCTGGGGGTAGGGCTGGGCCACAATAGTACTACAAAGGGGGGTGGGAAATCAAGTGAAAAACAGCAAGGCCAAAGTTACTCTGGTGAGCGTTGTGGCCCATGGGCCTCTTATTTTAATTTGATCTACGCATGAACAGTCATATTTATTACTGTTCAGCTTTGAACATGAATTATATACAGCTTACAGTTTTATTATGTTATAGTATTTTAATATTAATTTTAAAATATCATGACTGTTTGAACTTAAATTGAAGTAACTCATCCCTGTTAACAGAGGTGGGATCTGTTTATATTGTGCAATGTTTATGACCTTACAAAAAGACCAAAAAAGCTATTTATTCAAAGTCATTTATAAATATTTTAAGCAGAAATTATGAAAGACATAAATTTTAATTGTTAAAATGATGCATATTAAACATTCATTTATATTAGGAGAACATCTGGATGAGTTGCCATTAAATTGAAAAGGGGGCACTTTGTTTGTCATCATATTGGGTCTATTGATATTTTATACGCTGGTTTGTTTTGTATTTGAGTATGTATTTGAATATAAATTGTTCATTTTGAATTAAGGTACTTTTTTTACCCTTTACATTTGATACATGTCATCATAAACTTTCACTGCATGGTCAATCTCTACATCTATCTGCAAGAAAAATAGAATGATTAAAAAGGGTGAAAAACATGTATCAAATTTGTCCTGTAAATCGATTTCATGTACCCTGAGTTGTGCTATATTAAAAAAAACGGGGAATAATATAAAACATTAAATAGAACTATCACAACAATTACTTATATCATTGATTTTTCTACACTCAATTTAGATCGGAATATTGGCCATTTCCCCTATCAAAAATTACCAATTTTTTTCCCAAATTCAGTTGCTTTTTTCCCAAAATAAATTTGTTGTTTTTTTTATATTGAATTTTTTACGTACGACTTATCTAAAATGGTACGCTATTGTTCTTGGTCATTCAGACTCTTAAAATAATACTAAGGAACAGCAGATTATTTTGTGCATTTACAAGACATAGAAAAACACATGAATCATGTCAAACATCAACTTGTGTGTAAATACATCATAAGAAAGTGTAAGATGCATGTGAACCGGCAAAATATAGCTTTATTTGTAAATCCAAGTACTAGAAGTTCTACAACAAGCATCCCTGATTCCACGAAAATCAAACTGTTTCTACACCTGGCAGGTGCAACTAATATTGTTGAGAAATTGCAGCAATATGATTTGGGTAATTTATAAAAAGGTTTAATAATTTATTAGGAAAAGAATGATTTGTTACAAATCATGTCAGATCATTCCATCTTCAATGGATATAATGAGAAGGATTTTGTCTTATGTCTACCATTATGGCGAAAATATATATATATATATATATATATATATATATATATATATATATATATATATATATATATATATATGACGGTCACAATTAATGACAAATTTCAAAGATTAAAAAAAAGAAAGTTAACAAAGTAGAACTATGTCTTGTTATTTTGTAGTAAATTTATTGAATAAATGATGTTACATTTATTTATATATTTTATTTTATCTGTCAATTAAGGTTAATTTCAATCTTATTGATTTTTCCCAATTTGACACAAATGTCGATGATTTTTGACCCTAAGTTAATGTCAAACTTTTTCATTGATACTCATTTGAATATATGCTAAACAATGAAAGCTTTCAAGCCCTTTTCCTTTACATTCTGCAAAAAAGGTTCAATAGTCTAAACATTATATGTTTTTTTTTTAGTTCAAACATGTTGATGCTTATAAAGCACAAGTAATTCCTTTGCTTAATACATGGCAGATTGACAGATAATATCATATATTCACTTGAAAACCAATTAAAATATAAAATTCTGATGTGAAATCCAAAAACTTCAAACCTCATGATCTACAATATGGGGTCATAACTTTTAATTGGAATAAATTAAAGAGGATCTGAATTTCTTTTGTGAATCTTTTTTTAAATTTGAAGAACAGCAGGGGAAGGTTACTAAAAAGAGTGTTGTGATCCATGGGCATTAATATTTTTGTTTTTCAGAATTTTGAAGTTTTCTTTTAATTTGTTACTTGTTATGAAACACTTTTTAGCTGTACAATTGTTTATGTCTTGTAGGTGTTCTGTGTGATCATGATTCAGTATGAAAGGAGAAGAGGAGTGCATTCTTCTGGATACTTGCTCATCTTTTGGTTGCTTCTGTCAATTTATGGAATTCTGATGTTTCAGTCCAGAATCAGAGGAGCTATAATGAATGTTTGTATCATAAATATCAATCATGCTTAACATTCCATTTTCCATAATTAGACTTCCAAAAGTGAAATGAGCTAATTATTCTGATCAAAATTTAAATGATGTTTTATAGACTAATTATGGTTAGTTACCAGCTGTCTGATTTGAATTGAACTTTACTGCTTTGACTGATACATTATACAAAACTAGTTTTAATTGTAACAGAGACCATTACAGATGTTCCCCAAACACTCCTCAACTCTCTTTTGGTGCCGCATTACCTATAAAATTCATTTAAAAAGCAAAATCTCTGTATTATGGATTAATACTTGTTCGAAGTATTTAGGGGGTATAAAATGGACATGTAGCAAATGAGCATAAGCTAATCAGAAATCGGTGCATGTGCATGCATGTGATTTTAATAATTTCCATATTTACTGTCATTTCACTCATTGCACACGTGCCCACGTGCATGCATGTGCATGATGACCATGTCATCTTTTCTATACTTTTAATATATCTCTATAACTTTAAATATATCCCATCATTAAAATTAGCCTTGTTTCCCCTAACCTGACCCTAAAATCTCAAGTTGGGTAGGTAGGTAGATAAATTATTTTTTTTATGACAGCAGCTTTGAAAATGCTTTCTGAAATTTAATTGAATAATACCTTTATGAATAAGCAAATTAGTACAAAAGAAAAAGCAAATTTTAAACAGCATATCATATAAATGTAATTTCAGAATCAAATTTTAAAATAAATTAATTCACAACTATTATTCAATTAAAATTGTGAATATCTCACACCATTGTAAAGAATGAGTGGACTTAATGCCCTGTTTTGGATCTTTTTGCGATTCCTCTTCCAAGCTGTAAATGAAGTGAATCCAAAATATTTTACAAGCAATAGAAAGAGCTACGTATACATGATTATATTAGGTAGAAATTCATACAAAAGCAATGCCTTGTTGCTATGAATCAAAATTGAAGCAACGATACACTAGTGTCGCTGTCAGGAATTTAACATGTACCCGGAATGGTTTTTAGGTCACATAATCAATATTAATAGAAGGCAGGGCTATCGATCAGCATCAGTGTCGACATTTCTCTCTCTCTCTCTCCTCTTTCTCTTTAGAAATTCGAATGTGTGTATGGTATATTACAGCGATGTCAATATGAAATTTTAAAAAAAAATGTGAGGACACGCAAAATTATATTAACATTTAATTTGCTAAATTTTGAAAATATTGCATCCAAACACGCTCCAAGACGTGATTTACATCGAGGTCAGGTTGAAGAATACAATGTTTTTGTTTTCATGAGTACACTAGCAGGTGGATATCACGTGATGAATTGTAATATTCAACAGGTCAATTGAAGTCAAATCAAGGTTAATGCAGTCATAACAATAGAAGCGAGAAGTTCGTTTTGAACATGTTTTTTGTAAAATTAAGTATGAGCGCACGTTTGTTGGCTATTCTCCTTTTAATATGACATTAGATATACAACTACAGTTTTCTTAAGAACAGCCAACAAACATGCGCTGACTATGTATTCAGAAGATGGAAAACGAGTGACCCTGATTATCTCTATTGATATTCAAGAAATCTTCGGGCCCCATGCCTTCGATATTTATTTAGTTTTTCTTGAAAAGAGCATTTTAAATTCATATCTGTACCAAGAATACACGGTTAAGATATCGGGGATCTATATGATGGAAAGAAATAAACATTTTATAACACTTTAATTTTTTCTGGACACTTAAGTCCACCCATTCTTTATTGAAATCGAATATTTACAAAAAGACAAAATTCCCAGATACTCAACAATCGGATGTTCGAGTATATTTTTCAAACTTACTATCAGCTTCCAGTGCTTTACACAGGCAATGTACAATGTTTCAAGGGCCTGGCATGGTTCAAATCCCAATGTTGGATGTGGAGACCGGTCCTTCAAATGAAACCATAAAAACTTAGGTCTAGTGTCGCCGTAGATGCTGGCCACAAGTGCCAAATACAAGTCAAAATTTGGAGCCCTCCACCAGGCAAATACATGTATTAAATGTTGTTGTCCAAACAATTCTCAAAAGGGTTTAAAACAAAGAGACAGCTAATTTTCAAGGGTCTAATTAAAGAAAAATATACTGGATGTCTCAGGAAGTTGTACTATAAACCAATTTTAAAGATTTCAAAACTATTTGGAAAGAGTATAATAAACAATACTTTATTGAACCTAACAATATCTAAAAATGAAAAAAAACAGGTGATGTTTTTGAAGGATTTCACTCCAGCTTGGCACAGATGTGAGATTCTCATGGAAAGAAATAATGTACCAGTATACTGCTGTAATTAAATAAAAATTAGAAATTTTATCTTACTCATTTCAGTACACTATATCATGTTATGATCATGTGGTGTTTAAAGGCTACAATATGTACAATATTAAAACAGTTCAGAGAATCTGTTAAACAATTACACAATATACTGAATATAGGTCATTTAATAATTAAACCGATCTATAAGAATATTTAAGGAATTGAATATGACAAAGAACAACATTTTTGTTCATATACTAAATGCTGAAAAAATATGTTTCAATTTCTTAACTTCTGCAGTCTTTGTCATTGACATACCAATCAAAACAAACTAGAAATCTAAGATTCACATGCCTAGAATTTTGTTCATTCTATATATTTCTTCTTTTTTGAATGCCCTTCTAGAGGTATTAAACATTTCTTACCAAAAACATCAAAATATTAACATAAATATTGCCTTACCGACTGATTTTCTCATCGTTTTTCTATCAACACTTTCAACACGCCAACATTCAAATTGTCCATGAAAAAATCCGCGCTCTGTTGTTGACCAATCAGAGGCTTGAAATAAGTCACGTGATTGAAAAAAATTAAATAAATAATTCATAATTAATTTATTTTAAATCCAAATTAACAAAATTGTGTATTTTGAAACTTATCTTAAATATTAAAAAGCCAGTTGGTGTTAAAATTTTGAAACTGAGTTCCAACAAAACGGACAAAACCGACATCGGGGCTGCCATATTTGTGTCGTTGCCGCCATTTTGAATTTAATATTTTATTTATTTTTGAAAATAACTAGTAAAACTGGGTTATTTAATCAGGAAAATAATAAAATCCACCTGTCCTAGTCTTCTGCTAAAATCTTAATTAATATAACTGGCAGTCTTTATTCCCAACATCGTAATATCTGTAACTAAATGAATTAACATACACACACTGTATGTTGTTGTTTATCTTTCTAGCCACCCTTATTCAAGTTATTATGACTGATTTACTTTAGATTTCAAACAACCTTTGTAAAATTGTACCATTGCGTAATACACAAGCTGAAATTTACGAAGTGTAGGCCAAAAAGGTCATCTAGTACAAACACCTGTGTCATGAGAAAATAATGGGGAAATTAACACTGTTTTGCACACGAAGAAAAGTCTGTGAAAAACATTAAATGACTTCATGAGATTATAACATTTGACAACTGTTTATATCTCTTGAACATTTATATTTCTCCAGAATTAGGAAAATTATTCCAACTTAAGATGTACATGCATATAATTTACAAAACAAATATTAAGTCTAAATAATACCTATTTTCTGAGAGAGAGAGAGAGAGAGAGAGAGAGAGAGAGAGAGAGATTATTCCCAACTTTAGATGAAACTAGTACTTACAATACAAATATTAATTAACAAATAATATTTATTACTGATAGAGTGAGAGATTTAGAGAGAGATTTATTCCCAACTTCAGATGTAATATACTACAAGTCTCAATTTCTGACATCTCTTCTGTTGAACTTAACAGTGGATGTGGCTGTGGACTGCAGTGGATGAGAAAAACATTGGTAGTAAAGATGTCAAGAAGCTCCCCTTTTTTTCTTTAAAAAAAAAAAATCTCAGCTCACAACAAAATAGAAAAATAAATGTCTGCGTAAATAATAGCAGTATATAATGCAATTCATTATATGAATAGTTTTTAGCTAAAGAAAATTCTGCATATAAACGTATAGTGGTATCTTTATGTAGCCTTTAATCATCCCAACCTTTTTATTCATATCCTCTGTAGATATTACAGGTATGTAAAACTGCATCACTATACTAATATAATTATGCTTATTTATTAATTTATATGATTAAATTTCAACAGTTATAAAAAAAAAATTTAATTTAGGTGTACGGTATAAAAACCCCAAAAAACAAAACACCAAAATATTCAGTTTAACTAAGTAGCCATTCTGCAAAATGACTAAGTCCAAATTAGGTACAAAAAAGTTACACAGAAAAATGACAAAGTCCTGAAAAGTTATGTTTTAGTTACATCTGAAAATGGCTAAGTCCAAAAAGGTACAAAAAAGTTATAGACTAAAATGACAAAGTCCAGAAAAGTTATCTTTTAGTTACACCAGAAAATGGCTAAGGTCAAAAGGTACAAAAAAAGTTATACAGTAAAATGACAAAGTCCAGAAAAGTTATATTTTAGTTACATCTAAAAATGGCTAAGTCCATTTTAGGTACAGAAAAGTTATAACTAAAATGTAACTTTTTCTTGAGGTACAAGAAAGTTACAGAAAAGTTATAACTTAGTTATAACTTATTTCGGTATTGGTATATACAGTATTTCCCGACAATTGAAAAAGACCGGGGGGGGGGGGGGGGCACTTATAGGGGCAGGGGCGGTTACTAGGAATTATAGGGTATGTACTAAAGTTTTAAACCCTTAAAATGATTTAATTTTTCAAACCTCAACGGTATAAATTGAATGTGTTGAACTCGTCACTTATGATGTCACTGTGAAATTACGTCAATTGTTTATAACTGAGCAATGAATTTAGGGACATGTGATGAACCTGTTTTTACACAGAATTAAATATGCCTTAATTGCTTAGGTAATGTTATATAAGGGAAAACATTTGCAAATGTAAATATATGGGAATATATAGGAACAATTTTTAAAAATCTTCTAAGAGTAGCAAAGCTATGATTAGTCATGTTGATATGGAATCATCCTCAGTGTAGATTCAAGCTTGTTAATATTATGACCCTCGGGGTAGGGCAGGGCCACAATAGAAAAAAAACTTTTACATAGGAAAAAATCTTAAATCAATGAATAATCATTTAAATATATGAAAGTATCTTCAGTAGGTGTAGATTAAAGTTTGTTCATACAAATCATGCATCATGGGGGGGGGGGGGGGGGACTACTTATAAGTATTAAACTGAATTCTGCTTTTTTCTAGCCAAAGTCCTCAGGTGAGCAATATGGCCCATGGGCTTTTTGTTTTTATTTTGCAGGGAATTTCAGACATTGTAGCGTTTGCAACATTTCAGCTGTATTTCCCAGCTATTTTAGTAGAATTCATTCTTGCTTCTCTGGTTGATGGAAGACAGAGGCTACTGAAAGCTTATTCCCACAATAAGGTAAATTTTAAAGATTATATTACAGGCAGAAATTTTCTATTAATGATGCACATTTGACTGAATAGAAACAATTTAATTCGTTCATCAAAATCTTTCTGTTATCTGTTTGGTGTCATCATATTTGTCATCATAAACTTTTCACATTTAAATCTTATTCAAATGAAGGACCATGGCCAATTCTAAGGTAACAATAATGAAGAAAAGGCAAATATAGAGTTGGCAATTAAATAAATTTTTCAAGGATGTATTATTGTCCCTCGCTTTCACTGAAAGGGGGATGTTAATTTGGGTCTCTTTGTCCGTCCGTCTGTCTTCCTTTAGCTTTTTTGCGTCCTGCTCATAACTTAAATACTATGAAGCCTAGAATTATCAAACTTTGTCAGGTGATGCATCTTGGGTAGAAGGTGTGTTACATTAAAAATAGGTCTCTTTAACTTCTTATTAAGATGTTATGGCCAAATATGGCAAAGTTTTGTCTGGTTCATAACTAGAAAACTATTAGACAGAATTATTGAACTTTTTCAGTTAATGCATCTTAGGTAGAAAATGTATTATGTCCTATTTAACCCCTTTCATGGCAGAGTTTTTAAGCATTTCTAGAGGAATGGATATCAAGATTTTAATGCATTTTTTTTTCAGTTAGGCTTCCGTTCACAACGGAAGACCTATAGTGATTGTATTGTTTCTTTTTAGGGTCTTCCGTCTTCAGTGGAAGACCCTTCTATTATTCTATTGTTTCTTTTTCACGTTTATTATTCTTTTTTTTAAGCTCACCTGAGCTGAGTTCTCGGAAAGGGCTTGCTCGATTTTCATGAAACTTTCAGGTCTGATAGGAATTAAAAAATGTAGATATATAATTTTTTTTATTTTGATGACGTCACTTCCGGTCTGGCGATTTACATGATTTAGTGATTTTTGGGGGGTCAGTATGTCTGGGCATTTTCTGGTAAAGCACATAACACAGGAATGCAAAATTAACAGTGATGATAGAGCAACATATGTAGATGTGTACTTGGTAGTTCATTTTTACCAGAAATTCCAAACGTTGATGTTCGCTAAGGACTGAATTTTTTTCTTCTTTTTCCTAGACGTTAACTTTGATGCCTCATAGCTTATTTATTAGCTTCTCTGAGCCAAAGGCTCAAAGAGCTAATGCTATGGCCATTTGTGCGGTGTGCGTAAACTTTTTAGAATATGGGCCATAACTCAAGAACCCCTTTGCCAATTATTGTCAAATTTGTCACAGGGTATCCTTGGCCCAAGGGCTCCCTTTTATACCAAAACTAGGGTTGTGACCCTTAAACAAGGAGAGATAATTAGGAAAATAGAAACAAAAGTACTGGTTGCTAAAAAATCTTCTTCTCAAGAACCACTGGGCAGATTATCACCAAACTTACACAAAAGGATGAGGATATGTTGTAGATTAAAAATTGTTCAAGGCATCACCCTGGGGCAAAGGGCGTTGTCTCAAGGTCACTTCAAAGTTGACCAAAAATTACATTTTATTAGCTCACCTGAGCTGAAAGCTCAAGTGAGCTTTTCTGATCACATTTTGTCCGGCGTCCGTCTGTCTGTCCGTCTGTCTGTCTGTCCATCTGTCTGTCTGTCTGTAAACTTTTCACATTTTCGACTTCTTCTCAAGAACCACTGGGCCAATTTCAACCAAACTTGCCACAAAGTATCCTTGGGTAAAGGGGATTCAAGTTTGTTCAAATGAAGGGCCACGCCCTCTTTCAAGGGGAGATAATTAGGAATTACTGAAAAAATAATGGCATCATTTAAAAATCTTCTTCTCAAGAACCATAGGGCCAGGAAAGATGAAACTCATGTGGAAGCATCCTCAGGTAGTGTAGATTTAAGTTTGTTCAAATCATGACCCCCGGGGGTAGGGTGGGGCTGCAATGGAGGATCAAAGTTTTACATAGAAATATATAGGAAAAATCTTTAAAAATCTTCTTCTCAAGAACAGCAAAGCCATGATGAGTCATATTTATATGGAAGCATCCTCAGGTAGTGTAGATTCAAGTTTGTTCAAATCATGACCCCCGGGGGTAGGGTGGGGCCACAATGGAGGATCAAAGTTTTACATAGAAATATATAGGAAAAATCTTTAAAAATCTTCTTCTCAAGAACAGCAAAGCCATGATGAGTCATATTTATATGGAAGCATCCTCAGGTAGTGTAGATTCAAATTTGTTCAAATCATGACCCCTGGGGGTAGGGCGGGGCTGCAATGGAGGATCAAAGTTTTACATAGAAATATATAGGAAAAATCTTTAAAAATCTTCTTCTCAAGAACAGCAAAGCCATGGTGAGGCATATTTATATGGAAGCATCCTCAGGTAGTGTAGATTTAAGTTTGTTCAAACCATGACCCCCGGGGGTAGGGCGGGGCTGCAATGGAGGATCAAAGTTTTACATAGAAATATATAGGAAAAATCTTTAAAAATCTTCTTCTCAAGAACAGCAAAGCCATGGTGAGGCATATTTATATGGAAGCATCCTCAGGTAGTGTAGATTCAAGTTTGTTCAAATCATGACCCCCGGGGGTAGGGCGGGGCCGCAATGGAGGATCAAAGTTTTACACAGAAATATATAGGAAAAATCTTCTTCTCAAGAACAGCAAAGCCATGAAGAGTCATATTTATATGGAAGCATCCTGAGGTAGTGTAGATTCAAGTTTGTACAAATCATGACCCCCGGGGTCAGGGCGGGGCCGCAATGGAGGATCAAAGTTTTACATAGAAATATATAGGAAAAATCTTTAAAAATCTTCTTCTCAAGAACAGCAAAGACATGATGAGTCATATTTATATGGAAGCATCCTGAGGTAGTGTAGATTCAAGTTTGTTCAAATCATGACCCCCGGGGGTAGGGCGGGGCCACAATGGAGGATCAAAGTTTTACATAAAAATATATAGGAAAAATCTTTAAAAATCTTCTTCTCAAGAACAGCAAAGCCCTGATTGGTCATATTTATATGGAAGCATCCTCAGGTAGTGTAGATTCAAATTTGTTCAAACCATGACCCCCGGGGGTAGGGCGGGGCCGCAATGGAGGATCAAAGTTTTACATAGAAATATATAGGAAAAATCTTTAAAAATCTTCTTCTCAAGAACAGCAAGCCATGATGAGTCATATTGATATGGAAGCATCCTCAGGTAGTGTAGATTCAAGTTTGTTCAAACCATGACCCCCGGGGGTAGGGCGGAGCCACAATGGAGGATCAAAGTTTTACATAGAAATATAAAGGAAAATTTCTTCTTCTGAAGAACAGAAAAGCTATGTTTAGTCATATTGATATGGAAGCATCCTCAGGTAGTGTAGATTCAATTTTGTTCAAATGATGACCCCCAGGGGTAGGATGGGGCCCAATGGGGGATGGAAAGTTTTACATAAGAACATATAGAAAAAATATTTCTTCTCAAGAACAGAAAAGCTATGTTTAGTCATATTGATATGGAAGCATCCTCAGGTAGTGTAGATTCAAGTTTGTTCAAATGATGACCCCTGGGATAGGGAGGAGCCACAATGAGGGATCAAATTTTTACAAAGGAATATATGGGAATTTTTTTAAAAAAATCTTCTCAAGTACAACAAAGCCATTTGTTATATTGACATGAAAGCATCATCAGGTAGTTTAAAATTCAAGCCCCCCCCCCCCCCCCCCTGGTCTTTTCAATACTGAACTGATTGTGCTTTTGCCTAGCCAATGTGCTCAGGTGAGCGATGTGGCCCATGGGCCTCTTGTTAAAATGTTGATATTTTGCTTACTATAAGGACTAGGATCATCAAATCTTGTCAGTTGATGCATCTAAGGACCTCATATCATGTTGACTCAAAAGTAGGTCATGGTGACCTACTTTTTAAATTTTGCGGCCATTCTTATTCAAAATGATTTAGAGGCATATTTTGAACAATTTAAAGGACTTATCGCATGTTTCTAAATTATTTGAAATTAAAAGCGTAAAACGTTCCTTATGACCACATTTTATAAATTTTGTGTTTTTACTGCGGATAAAACGCGGTAACTAACCAATTATTGACTCAAATGAAAACCCCTGAATTAAAAATCTAAGTTAATTAGATAGCGATCACGTGACCCTGTGACGTCAAAGGCGACAATGGCTGATCAGCTCTTCACGTAAATCTTACTAAAATATACGCGATACAACCTGAATTTTCTGCGTTATGGACGACCAAATCACTGATTTTATCGATATGAAATTTAATATCCAACCTTATATTTTAGAATTGTCAGCAAGAAATAATCTGAAAAATCCATTAACATTGTAAAAATAGCAGCGACGATAGCAAGGGAAACGCGGCGAAGACGAAGAAACTCGCCATCACAATACAATTTGATTTGTCATTCTATCACATGTATTAACTTATTTGATTCACAAATTTAATATTACATAGCTTTGTTATTCTTCGTTTTTAACATAATATTAATTTATGCAAGTATGCTTTCATATGTTTTGTAAAGGATGGCGGTCTTGAAAAATAATTTTCCGATCACGAAACATTGCCGTAATCAGACCTACAGATTCTAAATGTTTGGAATAAAAAACGAAAATATCTCAAAATTCCTATACCTTAGAACTAGTTAATGTTTCTAAAGTAATTGAAAATCACGTAAGGAATTAATTTTTTCAGCATTTTTCATAATTAAGCTGCATTTGTCGTTGATAACTTCGTAAATAATGTGCAACTTCTCATCTCTCTATCACTGAATTGTCGCCTATGACGTCAGAGCAGTATTTCCCCGAAATCCGACTGAAATATGCATATTGCCGTATTTGAATTTCAACTCTCAATATCTCTTAAAATATGCTTTCAACAACGTTTATTGTATTCAGAATTTTAATAAACAAGGTTGTAGATAATATTTTTCATAAAATTAAGATTTTTGAAAAATCATGCGATAAGTCCTTTAAGGCCTATGATCATCAAACTTTGTCAGTTGATGTATCTTGGGTCCTCGAAGTATATCAACT